GGAAAAAAAACAATAATAGATAGCGTTAAAAATTTCTTACTGATTTAAAACACAATAGATTAACAATTGTATCTCAAATCGTTAAGTCTCTCATTTTATCAAATGATTAATATGACCACCCACAAGTGTTCTTGCAATAATATTGTTGAGTATTGAGTTACTTAAAATTTTTCTCCTTGTTTTTCAGCAATTAAGGTACTTATCAAATGTTGCATTGAATAAAAAAAAACTAACAAAATATTTTGGAACAAGTTATATTTTCAATTTGGCTTCAATCCAGTTGATGAAGAATGGAAAATAAAAAAATGTGAAAGTTTGGGATTTACGTTTAAAGAACATAAAATATTTACCTTTGAATTAGTTCTAAAAGACAATATATTTAATTTATATAAAATATTGTATGATTTTATGTGGGGATAGAAAATTAAGTATAAAACTACAGAAAGAAATTTGTTTGGTAAGTTAAAACTTATCATTTAAAACATAATTATTATAAACATATTAAATAGTATTAGCTTTGATGCGAAGCTGAGAAGGATTTAATTTTACCATGATGTGTTTATTTTTTTTTTTTATGTCTGTTGCCACTTTTTCTCAGCTCTCGCTGGTCTGATTTCTTTATTATTCTTTATGATTTTGATACGTCAAAAGATCAAAAATCGTATCTAGTTGAAGACATTACCCTTAAAAATTGAAAAATTTTCCATCGTTCCCGCAAATGGGGGAAATATCCAAAAAAAATTACAAATTTAAAAATCGGTAAATTTTGTCATTTTTTTCACTTTTTTTTCTTAAAACTTCCATAACTTTTTCAAAAATAACCAAATAAATATTATTTTTTTTTTTTGATGTATAATGTCTTTACCTTTCATTTGATATATATTTTTTATAAATCTGACCCTTTACCTGGCCACAGGAAGGGATTGAAAATGACAACTTTTTCCTAAAAAATTAACTTTTTTAACTTAACTTTTCAAAGTGTTCCGGATAGTCTGACAATTATATATATATATTAAATTAAAGATAATATAATATTTTTTATCATAAAAAAAAAATTTCGGAGTTTATTTTGTCTTCATGGTGAAAACAGACATCAAAGTTCATAAAAAAAAAATTTTTTTAATATTTTTAACTTTATAACGCTATAATTTATTGAAAAGTGTATAGATCGATACAACTCTTTTATGAGAAATAATATTTATACCCCTTTTTCATTCGACATACTTTAAATTAATCAGGATATAAATAAGGAAATATCAGACCATGTAGCTTTTGGAATAATCCACCGATTTATTAAAATTAAACACTATCTAAAGATTGGCATAGAAGAGTTTTTTATGATAGTGATTTTAATCACTGTCAGATATTATTATACTTGACCCCCCAACTATGCACGTCACCACTGTGCTAGGTTTTTTTTGAGATTATTACTTATTAGTTAAAATTTAGTATTAAATATAAAAGATAGAAAAAATTTAAATGTATATTTGAAATCAGCTCGAAAAATTAATCAATTAAAGTTTATTTATCCTATTATTATTGCTATTATCCTATTAGCTATATTATTATTGACTTTGTTAGAATTCCTTGTAGACCATTTATTCATAATTAACAACAAATTATCTTCTGAATAGTTTTGTAGCAAGCCCTTTAATTTTATATACGTTTGCTATAAAAGTAACAACTACTTTATAATTTTTTAAAAATTTGTCTGTAAAAATTTCAATACTAAATTATTATATATTAATTTAATACTAGATTTAATTGCAATAATAGATATTTAAAAGTGCTAGCTCTGGGGGCAGGTTTCTTAAAATGTGAAGAAGTAATGTATATCAAAAAGTTGAGGACTTTTTTTTGCTCATTCTAAAGAATAAAGCTTTGCATAAAAACTACAACAAAATTTTTTTTTAAAACGAATTCCTAAATGTAACCCAGATACTGATATACGCTTTAGTCTTAAGCGCGTTTCTTCACAAATTAGACCGTACAAACACTGGACCAGCAAAATCTACGCCACATTTATCAAAAACTCGTGCTGGTTCGACTCGGTCCTTAGGTAAGTCACCCATGATGGGCTCAAATACAACCGGTTTATACTTGAAACATTTGACACATTTTCTAAATATATTTCTGGCTATATTACGTCCATTAATCGGCCAATATCTCAAACGTATATTAGCTAACATCGCTTATGGACCGGCGTGTAATGATTTTTCGTGTTCATCCATAAATAATAATTTTGTAAAAGCACTATCAGCGGGTAACACTATCGGATGTTTTTGAAAAAATGACAGTGAGACGGCATGTTTTAATCTACCGCCTACCCTGATTATACCATCGTTATCTAGAAATGGTTTAAGACGAAAAAGTTTACTTTTACTGGACACTAATTTTGAGTTTTTTAAGTCACACAACTCAGTAAAAAATTCTTGTTGTTGCGCTACCTTCACTAAGCGTTTAAGGGCACTTTCAATTTCTGTAGCTTCAACAGGACCATAAATATTAGTGTCACTCGATAAAAAATTAAGAAGACAATAAGCCGCAACACGTAATAGTTTACTTAATGAAGAAAATAATTTAAAAATTTGATTAAAAGAATTATTTTCCGTTGTTAAGAATAAATTACTTTTTCTTCAGACAAATATTCACTTTTAGAAGTAAGTTCTTGAAAGTTACTAGGCCATTGAGTATGTTCCCCTTTCAAGGTCTGTTCTACCATAAATCTAAGCCTTTCATTTGTGATGGAAAACAGCCTCTTGACACTATGCCCGCTGGTTTGTCGCTGGACGCCTTCATTGTGAAAAAGACGTTAACTCTTGCATTTCACTTACTCTGTTTCCCACAAAAGTTTTCCAACGAGACGACGGAGATGATAACCAAATTATTACCAGTGTCGAATCTGTCCAATAAAAATATTCATTTACAGGTAACTGTAATTTTGGTGCATATTTTGACATAAAGCGAGCGGCCAAAAGCGCAGCTAACAGTTCGAGCCGAGGTAACGAAACTACCTTTAATGGCGCGACTCTTGATTTTGCACAGAATAAATTTATTACTACTTTACCATAAATGTCTGTAACGCGTGTGTATATACAAGCGCCATAGGCTTGCATACTTGCGTCAGCGAACGCGTGTAATTCTAGTTTTTTAATTTTTTCGATTCCGAGAACTAGACTAATTGATTTTAATATCATTAATTTGCTCCAGTTCAACAGTTTTTGACCAATCTTGTTGTAATGGGATAGGTAAAACGTCATCCCAGTTCATTTTTTGCAACCATATATGTTGCATAATCATCTTGAACCTAATTATTACTGGAGAGATTAATCCGAGTGGATCGAATAGCGACAATATTTCGGATAGAACTAGTCTTTTTGTGAATCGACCAGATATTTTTATTGGTTTTATATTGTATTGATAGTAATAGTTCTCGTGATTCCAATATAATCCAAGGATTTTAGTAATATTTTTATTAGGCTCTTTTGCATCATCATTAACTTTCCTTTAATATAAAGGTAATTTTCTTAACAATAGTGGTTCATTGCTGCACCATTGTCTCAACTTAAAACCAGCACTCTCCATGATTGATATTAAATTATCTCTTAACTTGACCGCCTTCTCTAAAGTATCTGAACCACTTAGGAGGTCATCCATATAAAAATCTTCATGTAACGCTCTACAAGCTTCCGAATAATGATCAGCTTTTTCTTCGGCCAGTTTTCTTAGACACCCGGTTCCTAAGTACGAGGAAGTCACAACTCCGTATGTGACTGTTTTTAGTCTTGTACAGGTTGTTCAGGATTTTCACGCCATAAAATGCGTTGGAAATCTCTTTGATTCTCAGAGACCCAGATTTGCCTATAGATTTTTTCAATGTCCGAACAAAAAACATATTTATGCGTTCGAAATCTAATCATTATTTCGGTTAGTTCTTCTTGTATACACGGACCCTTAAATAAAACGTCATTAAGACTTACCCCGTTGTTGGTTTTACAAGAAGCGTCAAATACCACTCGTAGTTTAGTTGTATGGCTACTCTCTTTATTAATTGCATGATGTGGTATATAATATGTGTTGTTAGTACTTTCATCTATCAAAATTCTTTCCATGTGATTTAGTTCTAAATATTCGTTTATAAATTTAGAATAAAGATTTTCGAGTTCGATATTAGTCTGAAGTCGCCGTTCTAATGATAAAAACCGTTTTAAGGCTATTTGATACGATTCACCTAGTAGGGAATGATCCTTGAACGGCAATGATACAACAAATCGTCCGTTTTCATTCCGTTTGATATTATTTTCAAAATGCAACTGGCACACCTTTTCATTTAAACTTAAAATGTTTTTAGTTTTGACCTCTTCTAATTGCCAAAATTTTGCTATCTGGTCATCTAAATTAATTCGGGCGTTTATATCATTTTCAACTAAATCTTGTTGGTGTGATAATACAGTAGTGGCGAACATAGATGTAGTGAAGCTTGCTGAGATAGGACCGGACACGATCCAACCGAACTCAGTCTTTTGTATAACATGACCATTTTCAACCGTTTTTATTTGATCGGAATACATTAAGTCAAATAAAATTTCAGCTCCAATCAGCATATCTATCCTTGCGGTGTGCCGAACAGCGGATTAGCCAAAATAATATCTGACGGTATTTTTAACTCCCTCGCATCAATACCCGATTGTGGTAAGAGACTGGTCAGCTTGGGAAGTGTTAAAAAGTTCAATTTTGTCTTAAAGTCTGATACGTGAGATTTAATAATCGCTGATACCTGGTGTTTAACATTATTCGGTGACTTGTTTATTCCAAAAACAGAATACGCTACATTTTCTCTTTTCAATTTCAAATAATGGCCATTGACTCGGTGACAAAATTGTTTTGTGAGCCGGAGTCTAACAATACTCGGCACACTACCGGTTCATTTTTATTATTATACGCATGTACTACGGCAGTAGCTAGCAGTACTGACCTGCGGCTACTGTTGTAATTGCCTTGATAAGTGTGCGCGTTTGTTAATATCGGCTGTTGTAGCGTTGTACTATCTGGCACTTTATTGTCAATAATACTTTCTACGTTATCTGAATTGCCCGCATTATCTATCTTCGAATTTACGTGCAATAAATTATTATGACCGCGTCCACATTTAGCGCAACGACGGGCCTTACATATTTGTTCATCTGCATGTGCTCTTAAACAAATACTACAATGGTTTAATTGCTTAATTTTATTGATACGTTCATTTACCGTAAGCTTTAAAAATGACGGACAACGATAAATAGTGTGCGTTTGTTTACAATAATAACAAGTTACTCTATCACTTGTAAACAAGACATTTATTTTACGATCATTTTTTTTTTTTTTGAATTTAATTTTTCTTGCTGAAGCAGCGTATATTATTATTAGATTGTAATTTG